TCTTCCCCCCAGCTCCAAACTAGAGGATCTAGACATCAGACCAGGAAGGGGAGAGGGAAAGACTAGAAATAGAGAAGATGCCACCTACGTCCCCAGCCCTCTACAGGCGTCCAGCCTCAAGCCACACTGGGCAGAGGACGAAGAGATGCTCGGCTTCAAGTGAAGTCCTGGGACGTTTATTTAAACGGGCAGGATGTTTTCCTCATTAAATGAGAGTGGGATGGTCATTGAAAGTCACTAGAGAACTTTTTCTTTTCTACAAATGACATCAGATGTTTTGGAAACTGCCCAAACCTTCATCCAAGGCTAAGGAAAGACGGCATAGGCTAGAAATGACAGGTTTGTATCATGCTCACTCTGCTCAGAGACTGGTGATGCTGACCCAGTAGACGTCTGTGGTTGGCCAACTCAGAGGCCCTCGCCCTACGTTTGGTCAGAGTGCCTGTCAATCACTGGCACAGCTAACAGAATGCCCAGTGGAAGTGGGAATGGGAGCCTGGTAAGGTGGTCGCCCCAAAATCCTGCAGTAAGGTCCAGGGGACCACCTTTCTGGATGATCAGCTGCTTGGTTCTTCCTTCAGTTTGATCTTTGAGCCAGTATCCTTCTGTTAAGTTCCTTTCTGCTTAACATTTGTGTTAGTCAGCTTTTCATTCCTGTGACCAAACTACCTGACAAGAACAACTTAGAGAAGGAGAAGTTCATTTTAGGCTCATGATTTCAGAGGTCTCTGTCCCTGGACAGCCAAGTCCATTGCTCTGGGCCTAAAGTGAGGCAGAGAGTATATTGGAGGAAAGCTTCTCCATTTATGGTAGCCAGGAGGCAGAGAGAGCAGACCCAAGGAGGAGCCCCAGACAAAATAATCCCCAAGGGCACACCCTCAGGGATCTACTTCCTCCAGCCATGACCTACACAAACAGTGACCACCCAGTTAGTTCATTCAAATAATTAATCCACTGATGAGGTCATAACTCTCATAATCTAATCATTTTTACCTCTGAACATTCCTGCCTTGTCCAACACATGAGCTTTGGGGGAAACACCTTATATTCAAACCATGACACCATTAAGTCTCAAGTTTTTGATTCTGTGACTATTTCAATGAAATTGACACAGGTACCAGTGGTGCACACCTGTAATACCAACAGCTCAGGAGGCTGAGGCTGGAGGATCGTAGGTTCAAAGCCAGCCTCAGCAATTGAGCAAGGCTGTAAGCAATCTAGTAAGACCGTGTCTCAAAAATACATATATATCTTTATATATACGGGGCTGGGGATGTGGGCTCAGTGGTTAAGTACACTTGTATTCAATCCCTGATACAAAAAAAAAAAAAAAACTAGTTTGGAAATCATAATCTTGACTTTATATATCCTTTCTTCACATGCAAATACATATTATATATTTCATATATTTTTTTCAAAAGCTCTAATTATTCATCTATTACTTTTCTCAAAAGAATCGACCTCTAAGAACATATTATTTCAATGTTACCATAGTAACTTTGTTGACTTATTTAAGTTTTTATAGGTGTTCCACATCTGGGATGATGGGAGAAAATGGTTAAATGGGTTTGTTTGTTGCTTGTCCCCCACAATCCTGATGGGTGTGCCTGCGTTGGCCATGAAACAGACTGTGGCAAGACATCATGGTGAGCATTTCCATGCTCTGGTCCCAGCCTCCCACCTGTGTCCTGGGCTTCACTGATGACCCATGGCCAGTGACTAAGCCCTTTCTTCAACCAGCACATTTTTAAAAAGGAATTTGAAAACCCCTAGGCAAGCCACGCCCTCGGCAAGCCCCACCACCTGCCCGTCTCACACCTAGTGGTCTGACCCTTAAGTTGCCTGCTTGGCTCACAGGTCCTTGTCCGGATCCTCCTTTCCTTCCTCCTATCTCTGGGTTTGTCCTCTGCTTTGCCTTCTGAGCTGCAGGGGCTAGCTGAGCCCTGGCAGGTCACCCAAATCCTAGCACAGTACTTGTATTTTGGAGCATTAAATCAATCATTCCTAACAACTATTCAAAGGTACCCCGTTCTGTGAACAGTAATGAAAAAAAAAATTAACAATGAGATTATTGATCAATCAAGGCTTTTGTTTCTGCAGATGATTTTATTACAGAAATGTTCACACATATGTAAAGCAGAGAGAATAATGTCATGAACCCTTGAGTACCCACCACCAGCTCCAACAACTAGCAACATCTGCCCCATTTGATTCCTCTCTTCCTCCCTGGGCCTCCGACACCTTCCCACACACCCATCAGCCATGCCCACAGCAAGCTAGGTTATTTTTAATCAAATTCAAGATGCTATAACATTTTATCCATAAACATTTACATCTATAAAGATAGCACCAAGAGATAAGATCTGTCTTTTTTTTAAAGCATAACTACCATTATCACACCAATAATAACAATAATTCCTTAATATCATCACATAAACAGTATTCAGATTTCCCCAATTCATGCCCCCTTTTTCTCTCTCCATGGATTTGTTTGGCTCTTTTCTTGTAATTATCTTTAAAAATCTCTTTACAAGTTGTTTACTTGAATCTGATTCAAGTTAACACAAGTATTGCTCTTGGTTGATAAATCTCATAAATTTCTCTTTTTCTATAACAGTTCCCCCTTCCTTTTTTTTTTTTAATACTTATTTGTTGAAAAACTTGGGTGTCTTATGGTTGACAGAGCCGTGGCTGTTGTTGCTGCCCAGCACCAAAAAAAAAAAAAAAGGATCTCACCACTTACCACTAGGCCAGAAAAAGATCCAGACTCAAAACCAGAAGTCCAGTTTCTAGCGAAGGCCCATTACTTTCACATCATGGTAAAGTCAAAGAATCGTAAGTCGAACCTTCGTAAATCAGAAACTGTAATCTGGATTTTGTTGATTGCATTCCTTATAGTTTTGGCATGTCCCTCTCTACCCTCTATGCACATAAACTGACAGTAGACTTAGAGATATTTCCCATTCAATTCCAATTTCTTCATGAGGCACCCCGACATCAGAGGCTCCTAATATCTGCTGTGTCTCTTTTTGTACTTTGATGTTGGGCGGGGGGTGGGGGGGTGAGGTCACCCTCTGTCCTGCACTTCACTATTCACTCTCTTAACTTCAGGCAGGACCACCATTCCCTAGAGAGTTGCACGGTGTGCACAGCCAATAAGAGGTTGCTTAGTAAATTCTCAATATCTTTTAAATTTCAGTCTCAAACAGAATATAATTTCATCTCATTTTTAAAAGTTTATATATATGCTGCTACCTCAAAGTAATTCAACACTTGGCTGATTATAGGACACGATTTCATATTTAACTCTACCTATTTTTATAGCATTCATGTTTAAGCTAGTCTATCATCACACAGAGATTTCAACGTTATCATATACTTTATAAAAATAGCATGTGAAAAGGATATTATTTCCATTTTTTGAAGGGTTATTTTGTAGAATAGGGAAAAGATGCATGGTATATATTAGGTAAATTTTTTATAAGGATTATGTAAAAAGAAACAGCATGGAATTGAGAATAAGATGTTTCAGGCATGACAGCAAGAACAGAACATTATAAAATCATGTGTTTTGTTTTTTTTTTCCCATTAGCAACCAGGAAACAGCATAAAAAGCAACAAAACTTAGCACAACGAATATTCCTGAGAGCCAAGGCTTCCCATTAGAGCCTCAAATAAGCACCAACAGCTGGATCTCATTTCCAGTTTGAATATTTAAAATGACACACAAAAAATAAAAATAAAAAAAAATAAAATGACACACAAATATAAAAATGCTATTATAGACTTTTTTCTCCTTGAAATAAAAAATATTCTAATGTTACACTGGTTCCCATGATGACTGACTTATTTCTCTCAACTTAGGTGCTGTAGTTGGGATCTGGCCTGCTGGAATGTCCCCAAAAGGCCATGTGTCAAAGGCTTGGTCCCTAGCTTGGTGCTCTCTGGAGCCGGTGTGATCTTTAAGAGGTAGGGCCTGATGGAAGGTCCTTGGGTCACTGGGAGATTGCCCTCAAAGGGGATTGTGGGATATAAGTCTCTTCATCTTCATGTCCCAGCCATGAAGTGAATGGTTGGCTGGGCCACACACTCCTGCCACGATGTGCTGTCCTCCCTACTAAAAGTCTAAAAGCAGAAGATTCACCTAATGATAGACTGAAACCTCCATCACGGTAAGCCAAAATCAACCTTTTCTCTGTTTAAGTTGATTTATCTCAGGTATTTGTTATAGTAACAGAAAGCTGCATCATATATCAGGCAACACAATTTTACATTGTCATAGTTTCAGTTCTTCTACATCTGCTAGGGTTTGATTTGGTTGAAGGAAAAAATCTGACTGTTCTTGATTTCACCAAGGGCTTTTTTATATGTCTTTAAAATAAAAATGAATATTCATCTTCTTTAGGAGCTATGACTAGAAAGGCAAGCTCTGGTTTGGAGAGGAGAATAAGAGTACCATCCTTTTAATTTGAGAACCCTTCTTTTGGGATCAAAATCTGATGCTTAGGATAAAACATTGCTTCTGGTGTTTTCATCCCATGATCATAGCATTACAAGAGGCATTCTTAGTGTTCCCTCTTCAAATTAGAAAAAAAAAATTAGTTGAAATTGCCTTCTACCAAAGCCCTGATGTCAGTATTAGAGAACATATATGTTCAAGAACTGAATTTGTCTAAACCATTTCTTTACACAAATGTACAGAATATATCCAGGCACTAAAAACGGAGTAGAGGACAGTGTGGCACATGGGAATTCAGTGCCACTGCTTTTTAAACAGCTGTTTCCCCAAAGAAAAGGCAACTTCTGGCAGGCAAAAGTAAAATAGCCCTCTCACTGCATTCCTTAGCATGATTTCCAAGTCTTCGAGAGCCCCGAAGGCCAGTTGATCCCAAGGCAGCCTCTAGAGCCCCTCCTCCACTGCTGTGGCCAGGGATACACACACACCCAGTGCATGCTGACAAGCCAGCTCCGCTCCACCAGCCCGGGTTCCAAACCCAGGCTTACTTTCTGTTAACAAAACGTACGTGGATGGGCTCCGCCGGGGTCAGAAGCCCGTGGGTTTTTGCATGAACAGCTTTAGTCCAAGAAGATGTTTTGATCTCAAAATGCTGAAGCAACTAAAAAGAGAAAGAGAAAGAGAAAGAAGGATTCAACATTGGGACAGGGCTAGGGTATGTCTCAAGAGCACTTGCCTGGTATGTATGAGGCCCTGGGTTCCATCCCAAACACCACCCACACACAATACATGGGGGCAGCAGAAGATTCTGGATGCTCTTCGAATGCTTTTACTCCTCCTATTGTGGCAAGAGGTTTCAGGGAGGTGAGGCAATGAGACGGTGCCTGTTCAACGTGGAGGCCAGTGACATGCTGGTCATTTGGAGATAGCATTAGATCTCGTACAACAGCTTTGCCTGTCCACTGAGCCACAGTAACGAAGAGGTGCACACAGAACACTCTCATGATTCAGGTTTTATTCTTCATTTCAAAATCCTAGCCCCATTCTTTCCATTTTAGGTCTACATAAAGGAGGTATGGAAGGATCAAAGAGAATAGACCAAGTGAGATTTCGGGTTTCCTGCTGGATCACAACCTGCAGCTGCATCGGATACGACGCAGACACAGCAGCAAGGAGAGATGTCGGCAGGCGGGAGATGGTCCAACAGACTCTGGGTGTTGATGGCTGAATTTAAACATTCCTGACATGTTCCTTTGATTTTATTGCTCCTGTCTGCCATTCAAAAGTAGAACCAACCCTGCCTCCTAGGGTAAAAACTGGAAAGTGCCTAAATGATGGATTTTAAAGAACTCCAAAGTATCAATTGTCCGAAAGCAATAACCTGCCCAGCCAGTTGGCAAGGCCATCCTTGGGCTTAGGCAACAAAAGACAACTTGCTCTAATACAGATTCCTAGTAGGGATGGGGGCCTCACTCAACTCATTCAGACAATGCAGGTGGCAGATGAGCTGTTGACAATATAACCTCCAACTTGTGACTAGGCTGTCCCCACTCTGCCCTGCCTCTCTCTCCAGCCTTATCTCCCAGGCAAAGACTAAAGGCCCATTGATAGGTCCTCGGGGTAGGCTTCAGATCCAGGATGGAGTCAAACAGGGATCAGGGTCAGGGTTTCAATGAGGACATTCATTCTTTGGTCATCATTAAAAGAAATGAGCAGAATGGTGTGCCTTTGGGCAGCTCCACAGTGTACGAGCACCAACGTGGCCTTGTCTAAACGTCTAACCTCTGACCTTTCACTCTGACCTTGCACATTGCTCCCCATGTGATGAGGTTTGAAGACCACTCATTTGCCAGGAACCATTGGTCTGTCTTGAGAACACCCCATGTGACAGCAGGACTATTGAGCTCAGGGCTCCAAGAACTCCCCACACCCCATTAACATACACATACCACCTAGGCTTCAGGATTCAGCATCTTCACCTTCCACCAAACAGAATCCCAAGGAGGAAAGAAATGTGGCAGGGCCTATGGGGTTGAGATAGTCCCTGCCCAGGATGGTGTTTTACAGTACATGAGGGATTTTATGCAAACCCCTTGCTTGATTTTTAAGTTTTCAAAACTGAGTCCTCTTTCTTTACCTGAAAGTTCCGACCCAGTTGAGCCCAATAAGAGAGGTCACGCCCAAGGCCAGAGTTTGCCTTGCCTGCCTCACCTGGATCATGACCAGGTGAATTTCCAGCTCTGCGATTCTCCGCCCAATGCAACTGCGCACCCCATAGCCAAAGGGGATGGACCCAAAATTGTCGACTCTGTCCAGGCTTCCTTTTCGCAGCCAGCGCTCGGGCCTAAACTCCTTGGCCCGAGGGAAGTTCTCATCCTCGTAGGAGGTGGCATAGTGGCAGAGGGCCAGCTGGGTCTAAAAAAAAGAAAGAAGAGGATCACTTGAAGGCAGAGCAGAGGCCAGCACAGCCCTAGCCAGACTGTCCCTTCAGAGAGGCCCCTGGCCTGGGGGAGCCACAGAAGGTCCACACAGACCCAGATGGACCACACTCTTCCTTCCCCTCACACTTCCTGGCCCACTCCCATGTCAATACAGCCTCTGAGAGAGCGAGTTCCAATCTTTGGGAAACTGGCAGAGCAGAGCTGCTGCTTTTATGGGGCAGAGCCTGGGGCTAGAGGGAGTGGCCCTGTGCACTACAGAATCCTCTTGTTTTGCTTTTGAGGAGTATGTTTCCAGAGCAGTCAGACCACACAAGTCATCTCACTGCTAAAGCACCATCTTCATAAGCACGGTATAAGAAAGGGACAAAGACTCCCTGAATGTCGAAGCAGATTTCCAACGCAACCACCAGTGCCCAGCCCTGCCCCTACACCCCTGTCATGGCCACCAAACTCACGCCTTTGGGAATCAGATATCCGCCAATAACCAGGTCTTCTTGGGTGACACGGCCATTCCCTGGTAGCACTGGAAACAGCCTGGAATGGAACCAATGGGAACAGGAATGGAACAGTGACTCTTAAACTACTTCATTAAACATTTAGGCATCTGAATATATTGCCACATCCATTAAACATTCTAAAAAACAGCTGGGTGCAGTGATGCCCACCGGTAATCCCAGCAAATCGGGAGGCTGAGAATCCCAAATTCAAGTCCTCAGCAATTTAGCAAGACCCTGCCTCAAAATTAACAAAAATTTTTTTAAAAAAATTTAAAAAGGGCTGAGGATATAGCTCAGGAATAAAGCACTCCGGGGTTCTATCCCCAGTACCAAAAGAAAAAAAAATCTAAGAAGTGACAGTGTACAGTTTCAACTAAATCTTCTAAGAAGGATTCAACAGCAAGTATTCTGGGGAATATGAAAAGGGTTACAAGGTCAAAAAAGTTTGCAAAACACAAAGCAAAGCTTTGAACATGGTCTTATGTTCTCAAGGGGGGAAAAAGTTACAAGTTTCTGAAATTTTATGTGTACATGGGACCACTTTATCAAAGAATAGTTCATAGGATTTAGGATCCTAAGAATCATTTAAGAAACAGTACTTCAGTTCTCAAATTGTCCTGAACAAAGAATTCTTTTAAAAAATTAAATTCATTTTTTTTAAGGTTCTGGGGATTAAACTTAGGGCCGTACACTTTCTAAACACACATTTTTCCACTGAGATACACCCCCCAGTCCATTTTCTTTTTCTTTTTTTCAAGATCAGTCAGCATGCTTAAATTAAGGATTCAGTGTAAATTAAAGTATTGGTATCAAATAAGGTTTGAAAGAATTATTTTCACGTTTACTATAGAAAATAATCTTTGTTCTTTGTCATAGCAGTTCCTCCACAGAAGATGCTGGTTAGGGGGACTGCAGAGGGGGGAGGAATTTCACTGATCATAAATGTCCATCTCCCCCCAAAACCACCCCCCTTCCACCTAAGACAACCCAACTTTTCCACTGTCACTGAAGCCCTGTCCAGGAGCAAATGAGCCTCACTAAGTGGCTTCTCCAACTCAGACCAGGATGTTCACATGAGAACCACAGGATACTGTGAACAGGTCTGGTAATTAGCCTAACAATCCAGTGTCTTTTCCTGACAAAGCAATCTTGTTCCACTTTCTCTTCAGAGGAACACAGTCAAAACGATTGATCCAGGAGCCACTTGGAAACTCTGGATGGACCTCTGTATAAAGGAGGAATAGTATTCAGTGACTGCTTAAAAAATCTTTAGGAAGGACAATGGATATTCGAAAGACAGAGTAACTCTTCTCCTAATCCAGACAGGAGGAAAGATAGATAGTAACAAACATCCCTTTCCTACCCAGTTTAGCTGGTGGATGTAGACTGAGGATTTTGCTGAGACAAAGAATCGAGAGAAGAATGAACAGGGAAAGGTCATCAGGTACAAAGTTTCAGCTGAATAAGAGAAAGAAGTTCTGGTGTTCTTCTCTGCAGCATGATGACTACACTTAACAATATGTATTGCATGTTTCAAAACAGCTGAAAGGGAGGATGGTAAAGGGTCTCACCACTCAGAAGTGATCAATGATAAAAATGCTAATTACCTTGAATTCATCATTCCGATGTATGCTTGTGTTGAAACATCACATTACACCCCATAAATATATGCAACTATTATTTGCCAATTAAAAATAAAATAAAACTTTAAAAAAAAGAATCAGAGATAATAAAGGAGATAATTTGTTAACTTTTACCCCTGACTTGTACCTCAGGGTTTCCTTCAGGAGAGCTCTGACCAGCGGGACTTTGGGGACATCTGCTGCAGTTGGAACATGCCTTTCCCCCAAATTCTTGACTATCTCCCGATACACGGTCTGCTGCACTTCTGGGTGCCTTGCCAGGAGATACACTGCCCAGGATAACGTGAACGATGTCTAATAAGAGAAACCGGCAGGCACAGGCATGTCATGAGTAAAACCAAAGGTTTACACAGCAGTCAGAGTCAGATGTGACGTCCCCTGGGAATAAGGGTAGGAGCAAAACCATATCTATACCATCCTATCTTTGCATTTGAGTTATTACCCAGACAAAAGATTCTTCTCCTTATTTCAGACCAGAAAAATCAAACAACTATTTTTGGAACATCAACTCTATGACTCGAGTGCTTTTTTTTTTTTTTTTGGGGGGGGGGGGGGCGCTACAGGTGATTGGACATAGGGACACTTAACCACTGAGCAACATTCCCGGCCTTTTTTGAGAAACAGGGTCTCACTGAGTTGCTTAGTGCCTCACTAGGTTGCTGAGGCTGGCTTTGAACTCTTGATCCTCCTACCTCAGCCTCCTGAGCTGCTGGGATTACAGACGTGTACCCCCGCCCCATGCCCAACTCAAGGACCCTTCCAATGAAGAGTCATGGGGGAAATTATTTCAGCACTTTTTGAATTATTTCAGAGCAATGTGCCTCCTCTCTAGGGAACCCTGGGGGACCTAAGGAATGACAGTCAAGGCTAGAAGTTCTGCCTGAACTTCACAGGACATTTGCAAAGGTTACCTGTTTTTTTGTTGTTGTTGTGGTTTAAAAAGGGGCCTAAACCTGTCCACTTTTAAAAGACCTGAGAACCATGACATTCTGGCATCCCACAGGCCCATGATGGCTGAGCCTGGCCTGCTCCAGCTGCCCTAATGTAGAGATTGGGGAGTGCTAGAAGGACACCAGTCAGTCATTGTTCCTATCAATTTATCAACAAAAATCAGCAACTAGCCATAGAATCTCTCATTTGTGTAGTGTTTTTTTAGTTTGGTTCGGTTTGGTTTTTTAATGTGGTACTGGGGATTGAACCCAGGGCCTCTCATCAACCAGGCAAGCACTCCACCACTGAGTTACACACCCAGCTCTGCGATATCATTTTTTAATACCACTTCTTGGTCTGATTACATTTCCAGTTATTTAGAATAATTCTATTTTATTATACTAAGTCCCAAGAGTTCCACTAAAATTAATACCACTATCTATGTGACTGTATTTCACTTGCTTGTAAGGAAATTCCACAGTCTAAATTCTTTTTCTTTCAATCTAATTTAATTATACCACATGAATATCATTTCTCCTCCAAGTCAATTGGTAGTGTTCTGTTTCATTCTGATATCGAACACTTCTTGGTCACAGTATATTATTCGATTGCTACCCTAATGTATTCTACTAACTCGGATTTCATTTAAATGAGATCTCTATAAACATTTATCACATGGATTTGATTCACTAAAATCTCATTTAAATGAGATCCCTATAGAAATTTAGTACATGCTTATAGAGAGCAGGCTCTCCCATAATTTATAACATATAATACAATGTTCAAGCTCTTCCTTATAAATGAGAAAAAAATTATTTAGATGCTTTCTATTAAGAGAACAGAAAAATTATATTAGACTCATGTCCTTAGGGGAAAATGAAACATGGCATGCAATGGTACAATATTCAATGATTTTTTTTAAAAAAAGAGTAAATTACTGTTAAATACTACCACATGGATGAATCTCAAAGTCACTTCTCTGAGTGAAGGAAGCCAGATGCAGAGTAATATGTATTGTACAATTCCACTGACATAAACTTTAGAAAAATATGGTAGTGGTTTCATAAATGCTTGCTGCAAACAATCTGTATCAAATTATACAGTTTAAATAGATGCAGTTTATTATGGACAAATCACACTGCACTGAAGTTGATTCCTTAAAAAAAAAAAAATGAGTTTGAAATTGTAAGAATGTTTCCTGGCTTTCATTCCAGGACACAGAAAAGGACCTGGTCCCATCTCAACCCCACTCGTTAAGATACTCTAAATTACCACCAGGGGGCAAGAGGTACAAGTGTGTACAAATTGACTCCTAGACCAGGCGGTTCTTTCATTCCTTCCAGATGCAAGTGGTGTCTTGGTGTGAGCAAATTCACACCATTCATCACTTTTACATAATCAGGATAATCACTGATTGCATCAGTTAGTTTCCATTTAAATCTTACTCTTTTTGTTTTATCCTTGCAGAATTTCTGGAAGAAGTTTATACTTTGTTTCTACATGTTTATGTGACATTATCATAAAAGTGATATAGGTTAGCCAGGTGCAGTGGTGCATGTCTATAATCCCAGCAACTTGGGAGGCTGAGGCAAGAAGATTACAAGTTTCAGGCCAGCCTCAGCAACTTAGCAAGGCCTTAAGAAACTCAATGAGACCCTGTCTCAAAATAAAAAATAAAAAGGGCTGGGGATGTGTCTCTCTGGTAAAACACCCCTGGATTAAATTCCCAGTACCAAAAAAAAGTCAACCCTGGTTTGGGGGGTTCTTTTTCCTCCTTTTAAAATGGAGCTCTGTGCCTTAATCAAGGTCAGGAAGCACTTGCATGAAGGAAAAGCATGATGTGACAAGCTCAACTGCTTTTTACTTTCCAGACACACCAACAGAAGCACCCTCTCCAGCCCAGCGCTTCTCCACTTTGCTGCCAGAATTTCATTCAATTGACTGTCTTCCACCACGTACTAGAAGTACAAGCCTGTTGTTTTGTTTGTTTGTTTGTTTCCCTGCTTCACTACTTCCTTTTAGCAAAATTTGAACCTGTTCTGGGGCTAGGGGTTTAGCTCAGCAGCAGAGCCCTTGGCTCTGAGGCCCTGGGATCAGCTGGCATTCATTAGGCCATGGGTTGGATCCCCAGAACCACAAAATAAATAAAACTCCCCTGTACCTACACCCACGTGTATACCATTTTTCAAACACAAGCAAATATGTCATATTACATGTTTTAGGAAGGAATATGACTCCCCAGTCCCTGGACCTCAGCCAGGAAATCCCCTGTTAACAACCCAGTGAGTACCCACCACACTGCTGCATGGCCACATGGTCACATACAGACACGTATATGCACATAGATGGGGAGGGGATGATGCCACAGTGTCTTGCTAATGGGATCGCCTTGAAGTCCATTGGCAGTGCTGTTTCATTCTGATAATGAACCCTTCTTGGTCTCGATTCAATTCTCTAGCTTCAAATTGATATGTTTACACACATACGTGCACATGCACACATATTTACAAGTCAAACTGTTTTAAGTTTTCTTTCTTTACACTCTCTATATAACAGGTCGTGGGTTTTGTTTTTTTCTTTTTATTTGTTTATTTGTTTTAATTTTTAGTTGTAGATGAGCACAGTACCTTTATTTTAGTTATTTATGTGGTGCTGAAGATCAAACCCAGGATCCCATGTGTGGAAGGCAAGCGCTCTACCACTGAGCCACAACCCCAGCCCAACAGGTTGTGGTTTTAAAGTTAACCAGGCTTTATAAAATGAATTCCATAGCTTGACAAATTTCAAAGGGTAAATAACAAGGTGTTAATGTCTGTGTCCTCTTCATGGCTGATATTATGAAATAGTGAACAAAATGTTGGCAAATGGGGAATGATTTTTAAACTGGAACACTTACTGTGATTTTACATGTGTGATAATGGAATTGTGGTTATGTTTTTCACAGAATTGACTGTGTAGTTTTGTTTTACATTTTACAGAAAGAAAGTTTTCTCCTGGCTATTTTCTGCTAGAACAGGTGGCCTCAGTATATGTAGGGATTGGTTCCAGGACCCTCCCTGGATATCAGAGTCTGCATATGCTCAAATCATAAAACAATAGCATGGCATTTGCATATGATTTACATATAATTTACATACCCCTCCCCCATACTTTCAATCATCTCTAGGAGATTCATAACACCTAATGAAATGTCAATGCAAATAGTTGTCATAATGTATTACCTATGAAGTGATATAATAATGTTCATGCACATGTAATTTTTTTTCCCTGAATATCTTCAAGCCAGAGTTGGCTGAATCTACAGGTATGGAACCTGCAGATATGGAAGGCCAACTATACAAACATGTACAGTGCACTTAAAGTATCTGCCCTATTAGGAATGGAACCATCTTTTGACCCAGCTATCCCTCTCCTCAGTCTATACCCAAAGAACTTAAAAACAGCATTCTACAGGGGCACAGCCACACCAATATTTACAGCAGCACAATTCCAAATAGCTAAACTGTGGAACCAACCTAGAAGCCCTTCAGTAGATGAATGGATAAAGAAAATGTGGTATATATACACAATGGAATATTACTCTGCAATAAAAGAGAATAAAATCATGGCATTTGCCAGTAAACAGATGGAGTTGGGGAATACAATGTTAAGTGAAGTTAGCCAATCCCCAAAAACCAAATGCTGAAGGTTTTCTCTGATATAAGGAGGCTGATTCATAGTGGGTAGGGAAGGGGAGCATGGGAGGATTAGATGAACTCTAGATAGGGCAGAGAGTGGGGAGGGGAAGGGAGGGGACAAGGGGGTAGGGAAGATGGTGGAATGACATGGACATCACTGCCCTAAGTACACGTATGAAGACATGAATGGTGTGAATATACTTTGTATACAACCAGAGATATGAAAAATCATGCTCTATATTGTAATGCATTCTGCTATCATGTATAACTAATTAGAATAAAAGTTTTTTTAAGAATTTTAAAAAACTGGTAAATAAAAATAAAAAAGTATCCGCCCTACAAAGAAACACTCCACCAGAGCATGGGGAAAGCAGTGCCGCGCTTCATTCATTGAGAAAATAAGCACAGGTACTTACTGTGTCAACGCCAGCCAGCAGCATCTCGGTCATGTTGGCGTAGATCTCCTCCAGCGTCAGTGTCCGGCTAAGGAAGAGGTATGTGAGAAGTCCCCCGCTCACCCTCTCCCCTCGGTCCAATTGGCACTGTATGTCCCTCAACTTGTTGTCGACATGAATTTGGCCTGTTGGAAAATGGTATTTCTTTGAAAAGCAGTTTGGGTTGAGAATAACCACTTCTGTCTCAAGTCTCTCTTGGTCCTCCCCATGATGTAACTAACCCAGTGAAGTTTGCATAGCTGGTGACAGAGGCTAAGGAAACCCAGCCTGATCTCTTGTCAGCCTTGGGGTCTCATTCAAACACTCATTTGTGTATGAATGAAAAAACTAAAGCCAATCTAAACATTTATTCCTTCCTAAAAGTAATATCTATCTGGAAATGTTCTAATCCAATAACCAAGGAGTTATTATTATATTATTATAATATAGAGAAACAAGAATGCAGATTCTTTTTTTCACACTCTGGTTCCAGAAAAAGAAAAATGAATTGAGCAGGGCAAAGGCCATGATTATTATCTGAGATGTTACTACAAAAAGACAACAAAATATAATCTACAACAGAACCTGTATATTTAAATGAAGGCTGACCTTCAAAAAGACGCCACGGGACACATCTTTTGATATTAGCATTGTTCTAAAACATTTGGAAAGGCATTTTGGAAATCACTTTTTTCTTTTTGGAAACACCTTTTTGGTAAAAAAAAATTTCGATGCCAGGCTTGGTGGCACATACTTGTAGTCCAGAGACTCAGGAGGCTGACGCAGAAGGATCTCAAGTTTGAGGCCCCTCAGCAATTTTGCAAGGCCCTAAGCAACTTAGAGAGACCCTGTCTCAAAATAAAAAGATAAAGAACTTGGGATGTAGCTCAGTGGTTAGGCACCCCGCAGTCAAGCCTCAATATCATCTCCCCCATTTTTAAATTTATTTATTTATTTATTTATACTGGGGATAGAACCCAGGAGCACTCAACCACTGAGCCATATCCCCAGCCCTATTTTGTATTTTATTTAGAGACAGGATCTCACTGAGTTGTTTAGCGCCTCACCATTGCTGAGGCTGGCTTTGAGCCACTGGGATTACAGGTGGGTGCCACCACGCCTGGCCCCAAATTTTCTGAGTTACATAAGAAAGCAAATCTTCTTTGTAGTGTCACTTTGAGAATAAATAAATATTCATCTTCCTAGCTCGTTTTCACTAGGTAACAAAACAAATGAATCTATCCCTTTCAAAAAAGCTGCAATGGAGAATGTTCAAATAAAAGTCTATCGGCCTCCAATTCCCTCAACAGTTTGAGTACTGACAGATTTACTGGACTAAAGATATTATCTTCCGGAGGGAATTTTATGTGCATGTGTCACTGCTAGCACATTTGCTCAAATAGAAAGAATTATAAAATGAAAATTAGGCCATGTAACTAGTAGTCATACCCCACATGCTTTTCTTGCTTATTTGAAAAACGAATATGAAAAAGTTATGAATGCAAATAACCTGTGGAGGTCCATCGGATCATCCTCAGCCATAATCACCCCCCCGCCTGGAAACACTAGATACACAGCTGCAGTCCCATCACCCTACAGATGCCATAGGTGCCCTTCCTCCAGCCTTCTCTTACTGAATTTGAAGAGTCCATCCCAGGACCTGCAGAATTCTCGCCAGGGTTTGGGGATGAAGGGGCGGAGCCATCTGGGGATGGCACCTGCATACATGGAGGTTTTGAACATGCTGAACATGAGCTCCAGGGCTTCAATGTACTCCACTGTTGTCTGGGGGATGTGGTTCTCCAGGCATCCCAAGCGACTCTCGTAAAGGATGGTGGCCACACCTGGGTGGGGAAGAAAGTTTAAAAGTTCTCTTCTCCTCCATCATTTACCATTATCAATACCATATCAATACGTAATATGTGGCATTAAAAATAACTTTCAAAAGTGGTCTAAGTGGGGCTGGGATTGTGGCTCAACGGTAGAGCACTCGCCTCTAATGGGTGGGACTGGGGTTTGATCCTCAGCACCACATAAAAATAAAGGCATTGTGTTGTGTCCATCTACACCTAAAAAATAAATATAAAAAAAAATTTTTAAAAAGTGGTCTAAGGGGGCTGGCTGCTGATGTGGCAGAATGGGATAGTGCATAGCTTGTGTACCCAAGGTCATGGGTTCAGTCCTCAGCACCACACACACACACACACAAAGGATGCTCTGGGAGCCTTTCACGAGTCACTTTTATCATCCAATCTCCATCCTGAACTATAGGATGCTGTGCATGGTTAACTCTGCTTCATTTAAATAGCTCCCTTCACAGCCCTTAAATACATATTAGGAAACCCACCAGAGCCAGGCATGGGGGTGCACACTTGTCTATCCCAGTGACCCAGGATCAGGAGATCCGCAACTTGAGCAATGTAGCAAGAGCCTGTCTCAAAATAAAAAAAGAATAGGGATGTAGCCCAGTAATAAAGCACCCCTGGGTTCAATTCCCAGTGGTAGTGGGTGGGTAGAGGGGAAGCCCATCAGAAGGACTAGACAAGAAGAATCCTAGAGTTTAAGTAGCGTGGCTAAGGTTGCAGAGGACTGGAACTCAGGTCTGAGATAACAAACCTTGTGAGGAGAGTGAGCTCTCCAAGCCTGATGCTGCTCAGCCCCTTCACACCCGCCTCTCTAGTTTGTCCTAGTTCTGAGGAGGGAGGAAGCAAAACCCAACCAGGGCCCCTTCCTGCCTCATTTGGAGACTATGAATCAGCTTTCCGTCAAGGGGCTCAATGGGGATAATTGAAAACTGTCTCCTCCTGGGAATCCCAGACCCAGAGAGCTAAAGGAACAGAGGAAGTGACCTCATGGATCCGTGGAGGGTAGGATGGTTCACTGTGTTTATATTACAGTTCTCTGTTGATGTCATTGCTATTTTTAGAAAACATTCCTATCAGAATTTCAAAGTTAAAGGTACATTCATATATTGCTGGTGGGACCACAAATTGGTGCAATTCTGGGAAACTAAAGGGAGATTCCCGAAAAAACTAGGAATGGAACCACTATTTGACCCAGCTATCCCACTTCTCCATATATATCCAAAAGATTTAAAATCAGCATACTACAGTAGCCACATCAATGTTTATAGCAGCACAATTCACAGTAGCCAAGCCATGGAACCTATCTAGGTGGCCTTCAATAGATGAATGGATAAAGAAAATGTGGTACATATACACAGTAGATATTACTCAGCCATAAAGATTTTCCTGTAAATGTATGGGACTGAAGGTTATCGTGCTTAGTGAAATTAACCAGTTCCAAAAAGTCAAAGGTCAAATGTTTTCTCTGATAGGCAGACGATAATCCAAAATAAGGGGGTATGATTAAAAAAAAATAGAAGAAAGATCAGTGGAATGGAGGAAGGGGATTGGACAGGAAGGGGAGGGGATGGGATAAGGAAAGAACAATGGAATTCATGTGACTTAATCTCATCATCATGTATATCCACAAGACTCTGATTATTTTTAAAAAACTATAAGTAAATAGCAGGAAGATCAGTAGAGAGAAGGGAACAGAGGGAGGGAGGAAGGATTGGAAAGGGGAAGTCCTGGGGACTGGATTAGAGCAAATTATATTCCATGCTTTTATAACTGTCAAAATGAATCCTAATGTTGTATATAACTAACAAGAGCCAATTAAAATGGAAAAACAAAGAGATAGGCAATATAAAAATCTTTTTTAAAGTTAAAAAGAAGAATTAAAAATTAAAAGTAATGGAAACATTATTTTTAAAAAGATCCAGTACCACAAAAAAAAAAAAAATGAGAAACCTGATAGAAGTGTCTTCCAGACATATTTTTAAGAAAAAAGCAATATGTTTTGTATACTCGAGGACATGGCTCAGTTGGTAGAGTGCTTGCCTCGAATGCACAAGGCCCTGGGTTCAATTCCCAGCACCAAAAAAAAAAAAAAAAAAATAGGGTTGGGATGTGGCTCAGTGGTCGAGTGCCCTGAGTTTGATCCCTGGTATCCCTGCCCTGCCTTCCCCCAAAGAAGAAATAATCAAGATGTAAGGAAAATGAGTTGTGCTTAAAATATGCTAGGAGAAAGAGAGGATTTAAAATACATACATGTGTCTGTGTGTGTGTGTGTGTGTGTGTGTGTTTTGTATACTATCATTTATGTTTTAAAAGTAAAAAGAATATTCATGTGTATTCCATTGTAGGTACATAACAGATCTTGATGGACACATGAGAAACTGAGGGCCTTCGTCACAATAAGGAAGCAGGAGAATATTTGATGACTACCTTTTGGTTATGATATCTGAATTATCCGACAAGATGAAATGACTTTGTGATAAACCAAATATACATACACATATATACAGTCTATCCGTTCATAACTGTGGGTTCCTTTATTTTTAATTATGCTTTAAAAAAATGTGTAGTGACTAGGAACATGGATTCTTGAACTAAAATGACCTGGATTTGAAACTGATTTTAGTCTCTAAGAAAAGGAATTGGGGTATAACCTTGAGTAAGTTCTTTAGGAGGTCTCAGTTTTCTCTTTTGTCCAACAGCAGGGACACACCTGGTTCATGCTAGTGAAGCCAGAATTAAAGACAGGCAGTTCGTATAAATAGGTGATCCAGAGAATGAAGGCCAATTTGGGTCTCAGAAGTTGGAGATTGAAATGTTAATGCCTTCAGAGCCCTTCCTCCACCCTTATCAAGATAACTGGCCCCTGCTCTAACCTGTTGCTAAGGTAACCTGTCCCAGGGACTGTCCCTCCTTATATGGAGTTATAAAAGTTGTTAATTAATGCACCCTAGGCCCCCTTCCTTCCCAGATCACTCCACCTTGGCCCCTCCAGCCCATCTGCTTCTCATCTTTTGGCCATCCTACCTGAGCATCTCCTGAGCCTAATCAGAAAGGAGAGAGATAAGGGGGAAGAGAGCAGGAGAACAAAGAAAATCTAGGATGTATAAAAGAGGCAGAATGCTCTCATTTCTTGGGATACCAGGATACCAGCTATGGACCCTTCTCCCTCCCAGGAGAAGTCTATGTTACCCCTTTATAAATAAACCCTGCTTTATATGCCTGCCTCCGCGTGCTTCTCTAATATTAAGGAATGTGAAGAAGCAGAACTTGTCCCCCATAACCGGTGGTATCACTAGCACTGTGGGGATGACATGTGTGTATGCATTGGGCTTACACCGCCCGGGGCACAGGAAATGCTCAAGGAAAGAAAACTACTTTTTTGGCAATTTTCCCATCTTTTGACTCCACCTCACCTTCCATTGAATATTTGAAGAAAAGGTCATTGACATTAGTCACCGTTTCCCCATCTTCTGCATGGCTCCTGAGGATGTAGATTTTTTTAATCAAATCAGCAATAACTTGGTTGACTTCTCCAGAGAAAATGGCCACATCTGTTGGTTTCAGAATTCTTTGTCTTAATACACTTCTCATCTTGAGCCACTGTTCACCTTCCCTAGAAAAACAACATGAATTTCAGATAATCTTACTTACATTGACATTCTGGGAAGGAATTCAAAAACCTATGAAAAACTTCCCATCCATAAAGAATCAATAAGAGCTGCCAATCAAAATGAGAATCAATGAGAGCTTCCAGTCAAAATTAGATAAACAAGAGCTACAGATCAAAACGAAATCAGCAAGAGCTGCTGGGAAGAGAGAAGGAATAACTTAACTCCTGTTAGAGCTTAAGTTGCTGCCCTTGAAGCAAACTTTAATTTTTTTTGCACCAGGGATTAAATCCAGGGGCACTTAATTCCCAGCTCATTTTTTTCTTTTCCTGTTTTTTGTTTTTTTGAGACAGGGTCTCACAAAGTTTCTTAGGGCCTCACTAAATTGCTGAGACTGGCTTTGAACTTATGATTCTCCTGCCTCAGCCTCCTGAGCCAGTGGGATTATAGGCATGCACCACAGTACCCAGCTCCTTGAAACAAAGATTAAGAAAAAATTACCACTGGGAATCATGTAATATGATTTCCTTTGAAAAACCTATTATGATAATATTGTAGCATAATAATATTTCTCATAATAATATAATATTATAAAGATATGAAACTGATTAGCAAAAGAGAAATATATATATGTATATATATATACATACAAAAAGCTTATACATACATATATACACACAAAGTATATATGTATAGATACATATTAAGTTCGTATGTACACTTCTCATTTTGACCCTTAATAGCTGTGGGTTCCTCATCCATGGATTCAACTAACTGAAGATCAAAAATATTTTTTAAAAATTATGATTAGAGATTATTTAAAGCATACAGAAGTATTGTGTTGGTTTTGTGCAAATACTGCAGATTTTGGTATCATACAGGTGTCCTCAAACTAATCTGAGGATATCATGGTTTACTATTGATATTTAAAAAGAAAAAGGGAGCCAGGCACAGTAGTGCACACCTGTAATCCTAGCTACTTGGAAGGCTAAGACAGGAGGATCACAAGTTTAAAGCCAACTTCAGCAACTCAATGAGACCCTGTCTTAAAATTGAAAAATTAAAAGGGCTAGGAATGTAGCTCAGTGGCAAAGCCTCCCTGGGTTCCACCCCCTGTACCAAGAAAACAATAAAATAAATCTAAAAAGAAAACCAAAAAGGGTGACTGCAGCTCTTTCCCAGGGGGGTTGGGGGCTCCTGGCTGCACTTTAGAGGATGCCCAGCTCCCAGCCCTGGAACACCTCTCACTATGAAGGCAGGATGCTCAGTGAACAGTTTGCAGCAGGTCTGAGGACCGCTGCACACTGTCCCTCAGAGGGTTCCAGTGAGGCTGAGCTTTGTCCGGTGGCCCACAAAAGCAACCCCTCCCCATCCATCCACACTCAGTGTTTCCCTCCCATTCCTTCCTGGCTTCCCCACTCCCAAATGAACCATTGCAATTAAACCCTTGCCTTGGGATCTGTTTTGGGTGACCCCAGCTAAGCCAGCCAGTCTCCTGGGCCAGGCTCCCTCTCCCCTTCCCACCTGTGGTAAAGTCACCAGCAATATGCAATATATACACACACACACACACACACACACACACACGCACACAGATTATATATGTATGTGTATATATATATATATATATATATATATAGAGAGAGAGAGAGAGAGAGAGAGAGAGAGAAATTGAATCTCTAGCCCACAGGAATTTGGGCCACGGATTACATGGACATTCTGGCCTCCTCCCTGCTTGGAACTGTGCCAATTATTTCTTCAAAGGTACCAACATGTTAATGAAGCTTGTTCAGAATTAATTATCACAGTCAGCTATGAGACACGAAAATCACCATGGTGCTGGAGATTCTTAGCCCCCACTAGGGGATTTGCTTTTGGGTCTTACCCTCTTCTACAGTTTGGGTAAGTGTCCCCAGAGGCCCAAGTTAAATAAAGGCTTGGTCCCCAGTCCGTGGCACTACTGGGAGATGACGGTGACTTTAGGAGGTAGGACCCAGGAGAGGAAGTTAGGTAAGGATGTGTCCTTTCAGGGGCTATGGGAACCCTTCCCTTGCCTCTGTCTCTTGCACTCCCCAGCTGCTAGGAGATGAGACTCTTCCTCCATCACTTGCTCCCCCCCATAATGTGCTGCTTCAACACAGGCCCAAAAGCAATGAGCCATCTGACCATGGACTGAAACCTCCAAAAGTATGAGCCAAATTAAATGTTTCCTTTTTTTTAAAGTTGATTATCTCAGGTCTTTTGTTACAGTGATAAAAAGTCAACAACCCTCCTTCCCCTGTCCTTCAGCTCCCTGGCTGTCACTGAGTAGACACCTAAGCTGAGAAGTTTGAGAAGAGCATTGGCCCATCATTCAGTCAGTGTGGCCTTCACCTTATCCCAGCCAGCAGACTTCTTCACAGAAGAGGAAGGAGAGCCCCACAGAGCTCTGCAGCTCCTGGTGTTAGGAGATCAGGCAAAGTGGCTATTTGACACTATTCCACTGAAACTTCTGTACTTTTTTAATAGCTGGCTTTTAGGAAACCAGTGTCTTGTGCATTCCTTCCTGAGTTCCCTCCAACGCTTGGCACAGCCTGGCCTGCATACTCACGCTGAGATGAGCCCGGTGGCTCTCCCTCGTAAGTCTCGGTACTCCTGCCAGGACTCCATGTTGGCTCTTTGGGGCGCGGCCCCCTCCGCCCGGAGCACCTGAGCCACCATGTCGCGGTCTGCAATAGATACTACAAACTGAGGACCAAAGTGAGACTTGAAGATTTTTCCATATTCCTGTGTGTGCTTCTGCTGCAATACCGTGGAGAAACCAAAAAAAGGAAAAAACACACAAATATGATATACCTTCAATGTCAACATTCCTGTGTGTTAGAGAAGCAGAAAATGGGGGCAGAGGGAAACTGTATATTCATTCTATGGGACTGTATATCAGAGCAGTACCTTTACATATGCACATAATCATATGCATAGAGGCTTGTTTATTTGTTAGCCGTGTGGTTTTTAAAATGCCATACTTCAATAAGAGAGAAATGTCTTCATGGACAGAGATGCACTAAGGAGACACACATCCTAAGCCAAATGAGCCCCAATCAACCAACCCCTACCCCACAGCCCAGCTCTACAGGAGCCTGCTCTGTGGAGTGAGTCCTCTGGGGAAATACAGTGGGCCTCTAAAAATGGCTTCCAGGGGTTCAGTGATAGAGCACATGGCTAGCATCGTGTACAAGTTCAATCCCCAGCACGAAAGGGAATAAAAACATTAATAAATAAATAAATAATTTTAAAAACCTGAAAGGGAAGGGAAAGGTATTTAGACTCTAGTCTAAAGGAGAAGCAAAATCATCTCTGTTCACAGATGACAAGATTCTCTATAAAGAAAATGTTAAGGAATTCATGGAAAAAAATAAATAGACATAACTCCTGATTCAATTTGAGTAGCTTATAGCTCTATGAATTTGTCCATGTCTTCAAGACTTTCTATTTGGGTATAAATTTTCAAAATAGGTTCTGATTATTGCCTGTATTTCAGTGGTGTCCGTCATGAGATTTCCTTTTTCATCACCAATTTTAGTAATTTGAGTTTTCTCTCTTTCTCTGATTCTTTTCAAAGAACCAACTTGTCGTTTTGTTGATTTTGGCGGGGGGCGGGGGGGATAGTTTATTTTGTTTCAATTTCATTGATTTCAGGTTTGATTTTAATTATTACCTGTCATCTACTGCTTTTGGTGTTAATTAGGTCTTTTTTCCCTAGGGCTTTGAGATGTAATGTTAGATAATGTATTTGTTGACTTTCTATTCTTTTAATGAATGAGCACAATGCAAATAAATTTCCTCTTATCGCTGTCTTCATAGTATACCAGAGATTTGATATGTTGTATCGCTATTCCCATTTACCTCTAAGTATTTTTTTATTTCATCCCTGATTTTTTCTACTAGCCATTCATCATTCAATAGCATATTGTTTAGTCTCCAGGTGTTAGAGTAACTTCTATTTTTTTCATTTTATCATTTATTTCTAATTGCATTTCATTATGATCTGATAGGATGCAAGGTATTATCTCTATTTTTTTTTTTTTTTGTATTTTCTAAGAGTTGCTTTGTACCGTAAGATACAGTCAATTTTAGAGAAGGATCCATGTGCTTCTGAGAAGAAAGTGTATTCAGTCATCGACAGATGAAACGTTCTATATATGTCTGTTAAGCCTAAAGTATTAATTATATTTTTTAGTTCTATAGTTTCTTTATTTTGTTTTTCTTTGAAAGATCTTTCCAGTGGTGAAAGAGGTGTGTTAAAGTCACCCACTATTATTGTGTTGTGGTTTATTTGATTCTTGAAATTGACAAGGGTTTGTTTGAATCAGAAGGACATAGAAAATTTAAACAAATCAATTTCAAGCAAGGAAATTGAAGACATCATCAAAAGCTTACCAAGACAGAAAAGTCCAGGACCAGACAGATTCTCAGCCAAGTTCTACAAGACCCTCCAAGAAGAACTAACATCAAGCCTCCTCAAATTATTCCATGAAATAGAAAAGGAGGGAACTCTTCCAAACATTTTATGAAGCTAATATCAACCTGATACCAAAACCAGACAAAGACACATGAAGGAAAGAAAATTTCAGACCAATATTCCTGATGAACATAGATTCAAAAATTCTTAATAAAATACTGGAAAATTGCATATAAAACATATTTAAAAAATAGTGCACCATGATCAAGTGGGGTTCATCCCAGGGATACAACCTTGCATCAATAAAATACAGAATCAATTTTTAAAATTGATCACATCAATAGATTTAAAGACAAGAATCACATGATTATCTCAATAGGTGCAGAAAAAGGATTTGACAAAATATGGCATCCATTCATGTTCAATACACTAGAAAAACTTGGGATAGTAGAAATATACCTCAACATTACAAAAGCTACATATGCTAAACACAAGGCCAACATCATTCTAAATGGAGAAAAATTTAAAGCATTTCCTGTTAAAACTGGAACAAGACAGGGATGCCCTCTTTCAACACTTACATTTAACATAGTCCTAGAAACTCTAGCCAGAGCAATTAGACAAAAAAAGAAACTAAGGAATACAAATAGAAAGAACTCAAATTATCCCTATTTGTTGACTACATGATTCTGTATTTAGAAGACCCAAAAAACTCCACCAGAAAACTTCTTGAATTCATAAACAAATTCAGAAAAAGGATATAAAATTAACACCTATAAATCATTTGCTGTCCAATATATATCAGTGATGACTCAACTGAAAGAGAAATTAGGAAATCTATCCCATTCACAGAAAAAAAAAACCCTCAAAGAAAATAAAATATTTGGGAATCAACCTAACAAAAAACGTGGAAAAAATCTAAAATGAAAACTACAGAACACTAAAGAAAGAAACTGAAGAAGGCCTTAGAAGATAGAAAGATCTCTTGGATAGGCAGAATTAATAGTCAAAATGGCCATACTTCCAAAAGCACTATACAGATCAAATGCAAAGTAGACATATAATAAGGGACTTGTATCTAGTATATGTTTTTAAAAACCTTTTGCAACTCAATAGTACAAAAAGAGTAATAGTAATTGAATTAAAAACTGGGCAAAGGATTTGAATGGACACTTCTCCAGAGATATACAAGTAGCTAATAAGCATATGGAAAAAAGCTCAATATCGTTAGTCAAAAGAAAATGCAAATCAAACATTAGATTTCACTTCACACCAAATAGGACAACAATAATCAAAAGGACAGATAAAGCAAGGATGTAGAAAAATCAGAACCTCTTATGCTGTTGGTGGGAATGAAAAAGGGTGTGGACACTCTGGAAAACAGCTGGCAGCTGGTCAAAGGGTTAAATATAGACTTTTTATTTTAGCCAGCAAAACCACTCTTAAATAAATATCCAAGAGAAAAGAAAACATGATACTCAAATGCTCACAGCAGCACTATTCATAATAGGAAAAGATGGAAACAATTCAAACATCTATCAATTGATGAATGGATAAGCAAAATTAGGTACTGACACCCGCTGCAACCTGGATAAACATTGAAACCAGTCACAAAAGACCGCATTCTACATGGTTCCATTCATATGACGTATCCAGAATAATCTACAGAAAAGTAATTAGCCAAGAGGAAGGGGAGAGTTGGAGTGACAACCGAAGGTTATGGAATTCTTTCTCTTTCTTCTCTCTTTCTTTCTAGGAGGGGCCTACTGTGGATTGAACCCAGGAATATTCTACAACTGAGCCAAATCCTCAGCCCTTTCTACTATTTCAAGTCAGGATCTCACTAAGTTGTCCAGGTTGACCTCAAACTTGTGATCCTTCTGCCTGAGCCTCCTGAGTAGCTGGGATGATAGGCGTGCACAACCGTGCTCAGCTTGGAGTTTCTTTTTAGAGCATTTTAATAGCTGACTTGGTGATGGTTGTAAACTTCAAATGTGTGAACTGCATGGTACTTGAATCATATATCTATGAAATTGTGAAAGAAGGAAGGAGACAGGGAGGGAGGAAGGAGTAAATTGCAATAAATATAGATGGACAATTAAAGACAGAAAAGGGAGGGGCTCCAACATGGCTCAGTGTGACACAGGACTGGCCCTACAGAAAATGATGAAGGCTGTCTTTGGCATCCACCATCCTTTCTCACCACTCCAATTCCCAGTCTTGGAAATGGCAGGCCAGGGGGACTGTTGTCTCTCCACTCTTTGGCCCACAGGTGAAAGCTCTTCAGTCCTTCTGTGGATCTGAGTGAGGTCCACCTGGGTGAAGACACTCAGACCTAACTGGAATGGGTGAGTCTCCAAGGGGTCACTTCTAACAAGTAACCTCAAAAGACTCCAGGTTGGGCTGGGAATATGGCTCAAGCGGTAGTGCGCTCACCTGGCATGCGTGGGGCGCTGGGTTCGATCCTCAGCACCACATAAAAATAAAATAAAGATGTGTGTCCACCGAAAACTAAAAAATAAATATTAAAAAATTCTCTCTCTCTCTCTCTCTCTCTCTCTCCCCCCTCCCTCCCTCTTAAAAAAAAAAAAAGACTCCAGGTGTCTGAATGGGAGCCGTAAAGGGGTGGCTGATAATGGAAACCACTGAGAAATGGACTACTGCTCAGGCAAATCCAGCTACTGAACGGGCACATTCAGAATAGGGGGCTGGCAATAGAAATACTACACACAGTTTACAGCACTTTTCAGTGAAGTGGAACAGTCAGTGATAATACTTAAACAGAGATACTGGAGTTTGAATACTGGCTCACAGTTTACTAGCTGGGTGACCTCAGTTCCCTCACCTGCAAAATGATGAGATAATAGAACTTGCCTCACATGCAGGAGTTAGAACTTCGCCTGTATATGAAAAGAGTTCTAAAAATGTTCATTGCTGTTATTTATTTGTTATTATCTGTTTCACAGCCCAAATCTCATTTGACCTCACAATAACCAGTGGGATGGATGGAGATTGTTAGTCTCCTTCACAGACAAGGAAACTATAGTCTAGAGACAATAAGTGACTAGCCCAAGACAAGTGGTTGCAAAGGGCTATCACTGAAGAGAAGATTCTGGTACCCATGGTTTTGCTGCTCTGTCACACCTGAAACAGCATTTGGTATATGTACATATACTCTGCTACTGAGTTGTGTGAGCTTGGACCTAACTTAGCTAATACTGTGGAACTCTTCCGTTTATAAGAGGAGAATTGAATTGTAGAGCTGAATTCAAGGACTCCTTTGAGTTAACATTTTGTAATTACAAGGTGAGTGCAAGTAAACTGGATAAGATGGGTCACAGAATAATGCTCTTGCTCCCGGAAACCCTGCTTTACTGCAACTTGGAGAGCCTGAAGAAGGGCTTTACTTTGAACCAACCTAGGTGGCACCCAAGCACCGCTTCAGTGTGACTAACCACAGGCTGTAAAGCACTCCCTAGCGGTTCTCAAAGGAACTGCAGGAAGAAGAGTACTTCAAACGCCAGACGTGAGAATTCTGGTGGTGCTCTCTGCAGAGTGAAGAAAAAGGCGAAGCCAGAGAGAGTAGGTATAACTGGGAGCACCGAGGTCCTGCCTGCTGTGTTGTGAGAAAGCACCAAGTGAGTCAGTTCCTTGACTGTATGCTCTGGCACGTCTGCCCCGGGGGGCATGGGTGTGGTGGTGAAAGATGTGTCTGAGCAGTGAGCAAAAACGGCTGGCTGGGTTCAGCCAGGTGGAGGCTGAGCAGATGAATGGGAAAAGAAAAAAAAAAAAAGTCAATGGAAGCTGAGACATATCCTGTTTGGGGATTCAGGTTTTAACCGTGGTCGGCTTTTCAAAGAAGCCCGTGCCCAAGGAACAAACTCTGGACTGATGGTGTGAGTGAGGTTAAATGCAGATGGAAGTAGAGATGGATACAAGAAAAATTAAGCATAAAAATTTAGAAATCAGGCTGTATTGAACTCATAACAAGCAAATTAAATAGTTTTCACTGTATTTGGAAACTCTTGTCCTAAAATCTTAGGTTCATAGAAAAGAGAGAGAGAGAGAGAGAGAGAGAGAATATCTTCTGGACTCCCACAATCATGATGAAGGGTGAGGGTTGGAGAGGAGGAGGCCAGTTGTTATTTCTGTTGAATTAAAATTCCTCCTCATACTCTGTTGCTTTTTTTCTTAGCGAGGTTTCTACTTCTCTGACTTTAGGCAAGGCGCCTGCGCCATCTGGGGCATTGGCTAGTTGACGAACCAAGAAATGAATGAAGCCCAGGTGGGAGGTTGGAAATGTGCCTCGTAGGGCCAGTAAGTTTCGCACAACAAAAGGAAGTGGGTGCGTGTGAGAAGCGGGTGTTTCGGGAGCCCCAAGGGCCATGGATCCCAGAAATTGCTGTGTTCTAGGATGCAAGCCCCAGAAGGCGAGCAGATGAAGACACCAGAGGAGGCGGCAGCTGCCACCACAAGTTGGAGGGACGGAAAATTGACGCTTCCAGGTGGAAGGCCACCTCAAGATAAAAGACGCAATTGGAGGGGCAAGGGTCGGGGTCAAGATGAGAAACGAGGGATCCCACATCATCTCGCCAAGGGTTACTGGCATATCTGGGATTTTACCAAGTCCCTGGTGCAGCCCTTACGCGTCGACCCTGTAACTATGCAACTCCAAGCCTCTGAACTTCGCTTTTTCCAATTATAAAAAAAAAACAAAAAAGTACTAGACCCGAACACAAAGCTATCAGTCACGTAGAGACACGCGGGGCTCCCAAGCGCCCTGAGTTTCTGGCTGTGCTCCTGAGCCGGGTGCTCGCGCCCACCGCGTGGAGACTGCGCTGCGCTCGGCCTTCCGAGACCGCGATCCCCAGGGGGCGTCCCCTTAGGACCTCGCAGCTCCCTCTCTCCCGGGAGACCACCGCCCGCTGCTCCTTCCCAGCTACCCCTCCCCGAAGTCACATCCCTGCCTCGCCCCCTGACGCCCCCTCCCCAGGAAATCCTCCCTGCTCCCTCGCCGGGCTCTCTCTCGGTCGTCCCCTCCGAGGACGCCACTTCCCGGCGCCTCTTCCACAGCTTTCCTTACCCTGGCCCCTTGCCCGCCGCCACTCACCGTCCTCCAGCCCGACTCCCCTCCCCGGAGTTCTCTCCCAAGGAGATCCCTATCCAGGCGGCCCTTTCCCGCCACCTCCTCCGGAGTCGCCTTCCCAGCGCCCCTTTCCCGGGCGCCCCTAACCGGACAACCCCTACGCGGATGCCCTCCCCCGGGTTTCGCGTCCGCCCTCGAAGGAGCAGCCCCCGGCGGCTCGCCCTCCCCGCACTGCGTGCGCGGCTACCTGGATCTCGTGGATGCGGCTGAAACCGTCCTTGCAGAAAAACTCCACCAGGTTGGCGAGGGTTCGCGGCCCCGGCATGGCCGCGAGACTCCGGGGCCCCTCGGCCCTGTCTCCGGCCCGTGGCGCCCCGGGTCGCCCAGATCCTTTGTCCTGGGCCCGCGCCCCCAACAGGAGCCCAGAGCCCAGAAGCCTGCCCCGCCCGGGCGCCGGGCGGCGAGTAGCTCTCAGGATCCGCGCCAGCAGAGCCATTGCGGTCCTTTGCATTGGTGTGCTTGTTTAAGCAGCTTCTCGGTTTCGGGGATTGCCCTTTGGGGTTGCTCTTTCCCGGGTTTTAACTTGCTGGAGCAGAGCTTCTTCGAACTCATGCCGTCTGGGCATCAGTTTACATAGATCATTATTAAAGGCTCCCTCCCTTAGGACGAAAAAAAAAAAAAAGTCTGTGATTAGACTGCGAGAGAATGAGGCTATTATTTTTTTTTTCTTCACATTAGATTAATTCAGCATTTAAGCGTTCTTCGAAACCACAAAGTTTTAAGTTCCAGCCCACTTCCAGCCATGGCCAACAAAAGAGAGAGGGAGAGAGAAATCGACTAGGATTTTTAAAACAATTTTCTTATTTTAAAATTACTTATAGAAAGTATAATAAAGAAATCTCCTTCGTCTTCTTTTGTGTTTTATAAAGATTTTTATGATTTCAAGTTATAGTGTTGATATTCCACATTTAAAAATGAGAATTTGTGTTAGGGGCGAATTTGCACCCTGTTATTATTTTACCGCGTGCCCTCGATGATAATAAGGATCATTTATGATGGCTTTTTTGGAACTTGACAATTCTTCACCCACCCACCCCCACCCCCACCCCCCGCCTTGCAGTGTTAGGGATGGAAACCAGGCCTTAAGCGTGCTACCCAAGGGGTCTGTCACTGAGCCCTATCCCCAGTCCTGGGTTCATCATTTTGATTCTGGCCACCTTTTGAAGCAGGGAGGAAGAATGTGAGGGTAGTGACTGCTACAAATTGTGGCATTCCCTGGGCTCTCACAGGCCCTGGAGAAGTGAAAACACTTCTGTGGGCAGGCAAGGGGAGTGGAATTTGCCAACATAGGGTCGGAGCTCAGTGCCTCTGCAAAAAAGGAAGTGCTTCCCCAAAGGAGGGACTTGGCATAGCAAACACTAGGAAGGGAGCCGAGATCCTGTTAGCAGCTTAACCACTTATCCTGGAAACCCAGCACATTATTTTGAAGATTCCAGAGTTTGTACTCATGTATATAAAGGTAAATTTTTTTAATTTTTTAAACTTTTTTTAAAACTCTACAAATATTGTTACTAAACGAAAATAGTAGTTATACCTTTACAATTCTGTTAAATCTATATTGTGTTTGAATAATTATAAGTTATCGTGTAAGTGACAAAAAAAAAAAAAACCACCATAAACTGGACACATGACCTGTAATCTAAACTACTGGGAAAGCTGAGGCAGGAGGAGTGCAAGTTTGAGATCAGTCTTAGCAACTTAGCAAGACCCTGTTTCAAAATAAAAAATAGAAAGGACCAGGGATGAAGTTCAGTACCAAGATAACAATAATAATAAATACAGGTACAGAAATACAAGACAGATTACTCTGTCACAAACCTGGAGCTGAACATGAGTGGAATTCGTGGGAAGTATGACACAGTAGAAAGCCTTCCTTAAAGAAGCAACATTCAGCAGGAATGAAGAGAGGGTCTTTCAGTAGAAGTGAGGGCAATGTGGCTAGGAGACAAGGTATAAAGAAGGGCACAGTAACCTTGCAGAGAGTTTCTGGTCCTCAGGATTAACAAGATCATTAAAGGACCATGAATGTAGAAGTCAATTCAGTTCATCCTGGACCAGAAATGGTTAAATCTCTGTATATAATTCAGAAACTCTATATAAGATAATTCAAAATGGTGAAATCTCTATATAAGATAGTGTATATACAGATAAATCTCTATATTAAATATTTCGAGTTGGAGGGCTGGGAGTGTAGCTCAGTGGGAATGCTTAGAAAGCACAAGGCCCTGGGTTCAATCCCTAATGCTAAAAACCATGAAGATACATATATATATATATATATATATATATATATATATATATATATATATATAGAGAGAGAGAGAGAGAGAGAGAGAGAGAGAGAGAGAGAGATTTTTTTTTATTTGTTGATGAACTTTTATTTTATTTATTTATTTATATGCAGTGCTGAGAATCAAACCCAATGGCTCACACATGCTAGGCAAGTGCTCTACCACTAAGCCACAGCTCCAGCCCCCCATGAAGATTTTAAAAATTAAAAAACAAAATGTAGTTAGTTTTCTGTTGAGGCCAATTAAGAAAAAGAATTATAGTTAAAAAAAAAAGAAAAGGAAGGTAGAAGAAAGTAAAAGAATATAGTAGTTCCTTATCCACCCTCAGTAGATGTCTGAAACCTTGACCATAAATTGACCTATATATACGTGTTTTTTTCCAATACATACATGTCTATCATAAAGTTTAATTTATGAATTAGGCACAACAACTAATAATCAAATAGAAAAATTATAACAATATACTGCTTTTATACTATAATAAAAGTTGTTTAAAACTTATTAGTTGTTTATTTCTGGATATTTCCATTTAATAGTTTTGGATCACAGTTGGCCAGTGCTATCATTCAGATGTTGTTTGTTTCTCAAGGGTCCCTGTGTCAGAAGCTTGGTTCTCAGTGTGGCTTCCATTAAGAGGTGGTAGAATCATCATAAGGTGGAGCCTAGTGGGAAATCTAGATCACTACCCTCAATTAATGTAGATCTCCCAGGACCCTGGAAGATTGGTCCTTCCCCAGTCTCTCTGGCTTCCTGTCTCAAAATGTGATCTCCCTTTCTCACATGCTCTCCCTCCATGATGCCATCTGCTTGAGGTGACACAGCTACAAGGGCCTTTGCCAGAGTCAATGACATTGTTTAGACTTCCCACCTCCAAAACTATGAGTCAAAGAAACCTCTTTTCTTCAGGGCATGGTGGCAAATACCTGTAATCCCAGCAGCTCAGGAGGCTGAGACAGGAGGATCACAGGTTCAAAACCAGCCTCAGCAACTTCACAAGGCCCTGTCTCAAAATAAAAATAAATAAATTAATTAAAAGGGCTGGGGATGTGGCTCAGTGGTAAAGTACCTCTGGGTTCAATCTCTGGTAGCAATAAATAAATAATAAACACTTTTTTCTTTATAAAGTATCCATTCTTCCAGATATTTTGTTATATCAATGAAAAACAAACTAATATGCACAGGTATGTGAAATCATGGAAAGCAAAACCACTATGGATGAGAGGGTATTCTTGTACCATTTCATGGCTAATTATTACTAATGGAAAAATATGAATCCAGAAATAGAATAAATTCTGTCTAGGAGAATTTCTTATTCCAACCAAAAAATTAACTTACTTTGGTCTCTGTCCAGGTTTTCTGTAATGACATTGTCTTTATAATAAAAAAAAAAATAACATTTAAAAAAGTAAGCCAGGAGCAGTGGCACACACCTGTAATACCAGCAGCTCGGGAGGCTGAGGCAGGAGGATCATGAGTTCAAAGCCAGCCTCAGCAAAAGTGAGGTGCTAATAAGCAATTCAGTGAGACCCTGCCTCTAAACAGAAATACAAAATAGGGGTGGGGATGTGGCTCAGTGGTTGAGTGCACTTGAGGTCAATCCCCAGTACCAAAACAAATAATAATAATAGAGGAAGAAATAAAAGTAAGTGGGAATCATAATTGTGGAGGGATTCAATGAAATGTTTTAAGCCCTTTTTTTTTTCTTTGTGGTGCTGGGGATGGAACCCAGGGCCTTGTACATGCAAGGCAAGCACTCTACCAACTGAGCTATATCCCCAGCCCCTGTTTTTTGTTTTTTGTTTAAACAGGGTCTTACTATATTGCCTAGACTGGCCTCCAACTACTGGACTCAAGGGATTCTCCTATTCAGCCTTCCAAGTAGCTGGGACTACACACAGGTGCAGCCTACCAGTTTAGAAATCTTAAACATAAACCAATAAGCCCAGCTACTTGGGAGGTTGGCAGGAGAATATCAAGTTTCAGGACAGCACAGGCAACCTAGCAAGACTGTCTAAAAAACCAAAAAGGGCTGGGGCTGTAACTCAGTGGTAGAGCATCCTAGGCTCAATCCTCAATGCTTCCAAAAGAAAAAAGAAATCTTAAACCTAAGTGGAAAACAAAAATAATAACTGTGAGCAAGAGAAACAGATGCAGGCCTCTGATTTCAAGTAGACATGGGAGCCCCATTTGTTCCTGTCTGAATGAAGCCCGGAGAGGTTTTGTACAGATGTTTTCCCTCAAGAAAACCAACTTGTTGAGAGTACATAGAGAAACAACAGTTGCCCTTCCAGCAGAAAAGGGAGAAAAATGTGTCCTCTAAAAGTTAAACAAATAAACTTTAGGTTCAATAACTAGTCATGTGGGGAAGTAAACCCAGGAGATAGTCATGAACACCTCTCAGAACTCGGATTCAGGTAACCACCACAAATCTCTAGGAGACAGAATGGGACTCTGGGGTGTTAGGTAAGCAAAGCCTGAGGAACTATATTTGGGGATAGAATAGGGATGACCAAACTGGATCTCTGAAAAGGGAACTACTATACTAGTCATTCTAGAAAGCAAGGCTCTGAATTCTGAACGTGGCCTTGCTGCTCACAGTGGGGCAAGAATGATTCACCAGGATTCCCTTTGGTCTGCATCAAATTCTCTCACGCAACTGTCTGGGCTCTGATTCCATGCACTGACAGGTTTCAGTCTAAGAATTAATGGTGTAAAAGAGAAAAACAATGGCGTGGTCTTGTTACTTTCCCCAGACCCCTCAATAAAAAGGCAGAAGAGAAAGAAAACAAGACAGAGTTAAACCAAAAGACAGAGAACCGCCTCTCCTGTGGATCAGGTGGCGCTGTTTAAGCCAAGGCTGATATCTGGCCAACAACCCTCATTAGTTGGGGCAGAGAATAAATATCTTCCCACAAAGGAATGTGGGCACTCTCCAGTAGATTCACCAGCCAGCACACCTTAGAATTAGTTACTTAGCTGCCACAAAACGTGCTAGATTTTTGTGGCAAAGAACTATCATTTTAACTGAACAGCTTCATAAAATGTTGGCTTACATTTTAATATAGTCCTCTCTTGGTATTCAAGGGGAACTGGTTCCAGGATCCCCTGAAGATACTCAAATCTACAAATGCTCAAGTCCCTTATA